CGTGCTCTTGTACCGTCACAGTGCCCAACATCAGGAAAAGGCACCAGGGAGTTTATTGTCGGCACGACCCCAATCACAAATCCTCTCTTGGGAAAGGATACCGCGTTTGAAGGTTTTCATTCTCCCACCGCCAGTCGCTAGCTACGATAGGCAATTCTATGCCATTGCTCCGAGAGTGCCAGTTATAATCACTTCCAAACTTGTCCAATACGACGGCGTGGTCGGAACTCTCGCACATCGCCATGAATTTTATTCCTAAATAGCTTTAGAGACTTGCTTAATTGTGAGTTTCAGTCGACAGACATACCTCCGAATTCCCATTTATCCTCGCCTGAATCAGGCCATCTTGTAGTGGAGTAGACGCGGAAGTAGTCGACTTTTTCTATGGGGACAGTTGCTGAACCATATACATCCTTCAGGCTCATCTCCATCTCACCACTATCACTAGCCGCAGGGCTTTTAGCGAATACAATATCGTTAGCTGCCACCTTCGGATTGCGATGAGAACTTAATTTAAGATCATCCCACGTCCCAGCGCGGACGATGCCGCCCAAGTGCCATTTAAATTTAAGGCTCTTAAACTTGTCACAATCCTTTTTCCAGGACCAATCCGTAGGCTTTAAATTTGTGCCCCAATTTGTAAACCAGGCATCGGCAGTTTTATGAAATTCAGCAACTTTTGATGAAGCGGCACATTTTGCTGTGATTGTAATATCTAAAATGTCAATTAGGTTTATTCTTTATTGCAATTTCAGGACCCGGCAGTAATTAGATGACAATAGCTTACCTTGCAGGTTCAGCTGGTTTGAACCTTCCCGTCCATTGTCCAATCGGCTGACCAGTCTAACATTTTTAATGTCATTAATAGTTACTGTCTTCAATGTATAAGCGTCTGCAAGGTCTACATCGATGGACATTAGGTCTCCGGCGCTGGGCGACTCTTTGAGCAGGTAGTGCGGCTGGCTTTTGTCATATCTGGGATTCTTTCCGATTTCCAAAAACAACCGATCCCAGCTTCCGGCCGAGATAGTGTCGGATAGTTGCACCTTGACTTTGATTAGAGACCGAAGCACACAATTCTTAGAATTTTGCGTCGCGTTGTCCAAGCCGTTTGCGCCCGTTCTTGGCTTGTGTATTTTTTGACACAGTTTTGATAGCCCTGATGGTGCTATTAGGAAGAGAAGTTAGCATTACCCGAACGGGTGCCGTTTTGCGTTTGACGGGAAATTGTAGCTACTTACCCTCCGCCCTTTTTTGTTGGGAGTGCCACATTCCACTGCATTCGCCAACAAGTTCACATGTGGTTGGTTTCTCCCCGCTTTCAAGGCTTTCAATAATTGCCTGAAGCTCCTCGTCCGCCTCCGCAAAGGTGCGATTAGGACGCTCATGCTCCCGGTTCATTCTGGCCAAAGCTTGGGCAAATATTGAATCTGCCTCAAGAATAAGCGATTGGGTTTGGGGATCAACGCCAGAGGCGTCACACGGCGCATTGTGGTCTCGTAGGTATTGGGCAGCTACGATGATATCGTCCTCATTGAGCGCAGGAGCTTGAGCTTCCGCTGGTTGCGGCCGCTCTCCCTGAATTTCAGTATATGCCCAAGAAGAAGGCTCAGGAAGCCCATCAAGTGAATATGTCCCAAATTGTAGGGGGAATTGGCCGGTAAAACCGACAGCAGACCCAACCTCTTGGCGGTCCATGAATTGTGTCCAGTAGCTTCTATCGAGATGCCATGGGCTTTCTGGATCCACGGTTGTCAAAGCGAACTGGTCATACCTTGCCTGATACGCTGGATTGGGTGTAAAGTCGGCGGCTGTAATGACATCACTCAAAGGGTTGATTTGATACCATCCCATGACTTGTTCCCAATGAACACCCCCCAACGCGAATACTTCAGGGTGCTTTTGGTCCTCAGTTGTTGGGTCGATCATATTCGGAGTAGCACGGATCCTATACAGCCATAGCCCAAATCTTGCTGCCTCTCCCGTGGTGGTTGATACGGAAACATATGCACTTGCCCATTCTTCGTTGGGATTCTCGGTAGGATGCTCACCTATAAATTCCGGGTTATATTCTATGCTAAACTCGCCAAGCATGTGGCGCCACATAGAAAATGCTCGGTCATTATTTGCATAGTCGCCTCTTGGGCGAAATCCGCCATCTTTTGCAACCTCAGCCGGGCTTCTAAAGTCTCCACGGTAGACTTCATTTGCAGGTTGTTTGGGAGCTCTGCCAATAATACTTCTTTTAACATTTGGAATAGCGCTGCTAGGGCTTATCCCCAAGAGCACAAGATGTGCGACTGAAATGATGGTGTTCCAGCGCATAGCTTTCGGGACAGCTGAGTTAAGTCAGGTTGTGTTTAGAGAAAGAATGAGAGGCGTTGTAGATGTTCTGTATATTGTGTGGGAGAGCGGAGGAGAACACGGGCAAGAGGAGACCTTTTATAGCAAGCCGACACATGGCATATAGGCTTATCTTTCATTCAATATTTTGTCAATTATAGACCACCAAGGTAATTGCCCATGAACCAAGTGTGAGGGATAGTTATTATGTACTGACTCATGCATCGGATCATCGTCAGCCTATATGCACTGTATTGCCTATGGGAGACTAGGTAGGATTAATCATCATGTGCTGTAGTGTTGGTCAGATTACAATGTAGAGAGTACGCTTAGGCTGCGTCGCATTGAGTGGTTGCATTTGCATAATTTTGAGACCCATTCTTGGCACCTAATCTGTCATGGTGCATAAACTACACGGTAGTTAGGAGAAGGTAGACTTGCCAACCCAGCAGGGCCCTACATTTAGGTAAGATACAGCTGCTCGCAAGAGAGACCCATAGGAGATCACGTAGTCCGCTAACGGCTGCGTCAGTTTTTGCTCGCTCCCCATTGTATCTTACGCTCATTCAATGTTTGCCATCAGCCATTTTTACGCTACAGAACTTAACAACCACTGAAGACGAATTTTAGCGGTGTGCCGTCAAGCTAAGGTGGACGGCGAACTCGTCCCGGGTGTGGAGTAGTGCAGTTGACAGTTACTTCCTTCACGTTTATTTAGTGAGCATATGCTGTAGTTTGAAAGAATGTGTAAGGCCTGCTGTACATTTCTTCTCGCAGGGTCTGTCAACCAAAAGAACGCGCTCTATTTCTGAGCAATTATACCCACTTAGTTCTCCTGTTTGCGCACATTACAGCGCTATCTTGCATAATGAAGCCTTAGTTACGCATTCAATTCCTTGTTTTGGAAGGTCCTGTAATTTCCTCGATACCACTGCTCGTGTCACAACCCACCGGTTATTTGGCAGCTGTCGTCTAAGCACCTTATCCGTTGACATTACTGTTAATGCTCACTAATATATCCTTCATGCGCATAAGGCACAAATAAGGATACAATATAGATGTAACCACGCATGAGGCTTAGCGGCTATTAGAAGGGAAGTCCAAAGGGAGAGACTGATTTATGAATGATAAACACGCCTATAAAAGGATACTGTAGCCTTGATCTATTCTGCTCTAAATCGCCACTACCTACTTTCCTCACTATCAGTTACTCTCTTACGGTTGACGGACCACTACTTGGTACCAGTTTTTATATTTTCTACCAATTTCAAAAGGAGAATTTCGACATAAAAACCGTACTCGTCGTCCTCTTCTCTCTCATCGGATCGACCCTCGCGATGCCGCCTAGTCAGAGGCTGGAACGACGCCTCGGTGACGCAGACCAAAAGTGGAGAAATCTCTGGAGCAATTTCTGCTCTAAGGAGTATAGAGATGCTCAGAAAATGCAGAAATGAAAGCAACTCGTCTGACGGCGAGAACACTAGCCATAAGATTGCTATGGAATGCTTGGTAGACCATAGCAAAGCCGATGAGACAAGCCAATCTCGCCATGATTCATGCAAGACCCAGGCTGTCAAAGGTGCTAGCGTCTGCTTTCATGATGAAAATAATACCAAGAGAACCCTGCCATAATGCCAGCGGGAACAATGGGAGGCCTACTCGCTGCGCTGAAACTGGATCGACGGCACCCATGACTACGCATGATAAAGAGTTGTCACGCTATGAGACTCATTGTTAACTAAGCTTATTTCTTCAATATAAAAGTTATTGTTGTTGTTTTCCTATGTATCCTTTAGAATGGTTCATGTCTTTTATCTTTAGTTTAGAAGACTTCCCAGCCACCCTGATTTCATCAGGATGGCTGACCAGCCTCTCAACTACTGATATCGATGATTTTATGACATCTAGAAATTACGTCAAGCAGAGTTGCAATCCACGGTCCATACCACTGGCCTGATCGGTTATTGGATTGTCTAATCCATCCATTCCACTGGAACTGCTGATGGAGTGGATGGAGCGGATTCATTGGATTTGAGGTGGGGTAGTTAGAGGCTGCCCTCCAAGTTAGGTGTGCGGGCTTAACTCTGGCCGAGAGCTACCCTAGAACCGAGACATAAAATGCTCTCGACAATGCAGATATTTTGGAATTTTGCGAAACCAGTGTCACTAGAACTGGTCAACCATTTTTTCATTGAAAGGACATATACTATAATATTAAAGCTTCGCATGAGAAAATTGAAGAAATAGTCGACAGCCCATTTATTCTTTCACTCTTTACCTGTCTGGATAGGCTATCCCTAAAGCGTGCAGAGAGGGTGGATGTGTCATATAAAACTGTCTCTACCCTTCTAAACTGAGATAGACGGAATAACTCTTTTAGGGAAGAAGAAAAATGAATAGACGGGATTCTTACTTGTGTATCAATAATACCTAGCTAACAATGACTCCTGTAATGTGACGGTTGTGTGTAAATACATCCGGCACTGCGCCGTAAAACTTCTGACGGCATTCGTGTTACGACCCAGTCATATGCAGGAAGCAGGCTGCAGGTTGGGCCGGCTGCATGGGCCGCCGAAGAAACATTTTGCTAGAGTAATTTGGAACACGTCAGGGGGAGCTGTCGACTGCGATTGCTGGATATGTCTCGCCGGTAAGTAAACGGTCTTCAATGTCTTCTGACAGCGTCGCCAGATTGGGTAATGAACCACAGCTGCTACACAGGCATGACTCTTCCATAGGCTCCTAAGGCTCGGGCCATTCCGGAGCTTTCAGGCAACAGGTAGACTAAATAATTTGGAGCGCTGTGAGCATCTTGGGTCGGACTTTCAGCAGAACTGGGCCATTATCCTCAGTAAATGCTTGGGCAACCGGGAAGAGGCGCGAAGAGTCCGAATGATCACGAGAAAAATAATGGTGGAAGCGGAAGTTGGTGGGTTGGATTTGCTACGCGCATATCAACGATATTCTAAGGGTGGAAGGTCCTCTGGTATAGAATATATGGACAATTACGCCTGCAGGTACTTATTACATTATCCTTTTGTTTTAACTGTATGCCACTTGTAGAATGATGCCTTATTCAATCAACATACTAGGCAGCCTAATATAGACGGCATCCTCAATGTTCCATGAAGGATTCCATAGAACAGGGCAGCAGAGCACGACAAGCACTATATGAAGAGTGTCACGGTCTGCGCGTCGAACAATACAAACATAAAGATTATTGAGAAAGCTCTGTCAGACCCTTTGTCACAAACCTGACTGTAGGCTCCTTGTTTTTCTTCTGTGTATGAAGTACTGTGGGAACCGTGCAGCTTTCAAATGGAGATCTTTGCCCCTTTGGGTCCTCACAATATTATCAAGCCCTCTTTTCGTTTCCCCTCTCGGAGTTCCGAAAGCGCCCCACTCCAAGATGTAGACTTTTCCACGGAATTTTGGGCGCCACTTACAACGAATCGGAACCCCGATGTTCAGAAGTCACCGTTGTCCCAGCGGCCCCAGTTGTCCAATCAGGACAGGTTCAGTGGGAAAGGTGGATCTATGGACTTTTGCATGACTCAAAATGTTGGATTGTAGGAGGGCGCCTAGGTTCGCGGGGACCTGCGGCGTTAGAATTTCGCGGGACCCCGCCTACAAAAAATCATGCATACCAGTGGGATTAGAGGAAGGTACCCAGAGCGGGTACACGTGTGGAAATTGCCTCACCATCACTGGAACCATGTTCAGACAGCATGGCCAATTTGTCATCTCTGCTAGAAACTTAAAACGTTAAAGTAATTGTGAGACGACTTACTTAAGCCGATATATGCTCGTTTTGTGGCTGTAAAGGATGGCTTGGTACGCAGCGTAGCTTAAGGGAAGCATTAAGACTAACTGTATAGCAAGCTAAAGGGGCTTCCTTTGCGATACGATAAATAGAGTTATATATGGTGCTTGGATTATAAGCACATGTTAAGTTATTGTAGATCATCGTTAGGAATAAGGAATTAGATGGAGGAAATGATGGCATGTCTTGACTGGAACAAGCAGAAAGATGATCGGGTTGAAACTAGAGTCCGCGCAGAAATACGCGAGGTTCGTGCAGCTTTAAAGAGAGGTGGCTAAAACACGTTTGGAACAGCTTAGAGGCGCTACACTCATTGCCTGGGCAAGAAGAGGCAAAGAATTGTATAACGTCAAATAATATTCGCTACCAAGACGAGAGGCGTAATATTGCCAAAGTCATGTCGCACAGTGTCAGAAGTTCTTACATTATTGTCTAGTGTCAGAAATACGATGGCACTACAGTATCACGGAGAGAATTCAACTGCATGTTCAAAAGATTGTTGTTCAGTTTATCATCCAGGACGGGAATCCTCCCAGACTAGAATGACTTTTATAAAGCTGCTGCCCGTTGGGCAGCAGTATTGCTACCCAAGCATCAGGTGCAAGCTGTGCACAGTGCGGTGTATCAACCTGCAACTCCACAATCTGACATCTAGCTGGGTGATCATACTGTGCACGGCAGTTTAGGCGGGATCCCGCGAAATTCTAACGTCGCGGATCCCGGCGAACCTAGGCGCTCCCGTACCAACACCCCGTCTTTTTGGGCTCGCTTTGGCTCGCACGACCTACCTTTGCGAGGTGTTGCCGAATGGATTCGTCCAAACTCTGTACAAGCTCTGATTAGCTACGTGATCCCCAGTACTCCTAGATGCTCGTAAATCTTTTGTCCAATTCCTCAGAATCTGTGACAGGTACGGATGGATGGATGGATTTTACTTCTCTCGGAGGGAATTTCCTAAAGGGCCACGACACTAAACAGTAGCTAGTTGGACAGGTACGGGGGCCGAAGGCGAGAGTGCGAGCCGAGCCACATCGGACTCAGCCTGTCGCGTTTTAAGACGTGTATTAGCTATAGTCATTGAGAAAACGTTCCAATTCTTGTATATTCATTCATGGCTGTCTGTCTCCCTCCTTCCCTCCACCGAGGAAACCCCCGGTCCTCGATACCTTTGGAATACTGCTTTTTGCCACCTGGGTGGCAAAACGACCGCGTAACCAGCTTCAGCCTAGATTTCTGAGGCTCTGCTGATTTCGGCCATGGATTGTTATTAATTGTCAGTATAGCGGTTCCCAGCAACTCCTGCATTCCCCAACTATACGACAAGCCACGCCTACCGTGACTCCCACGGCAGGGCTTTTTACGCAAGCTCGGCCATCCTGGCCTTCGCTCATAGATTCGCCTGGGTTCCCAGTTCTTCCACGAACATTCCCGCCAGGTCTTTCGATTTAGATCAGCCCGAGGTGCTCTAAAGAGGTGCGCGTCCACTGTGGTCTAGCCCCTCAGTGGATTTTGCCCGACAGTCAGTGATGTAAATAGTGCAAAATACCGTATACGATATTTTTTCAACCCCACACTGCACTGTATTGTTTCGGAATTTGCTGCACTGCACGGTATACGGTATTGCACTGTATTTGGGCAATATTGTATTGCAATATCATATCGCACGGCGTGCAAAGAGCCGCCTGACTCAAACATTAAGCTAACCAAATTGAGTAAGGCTGATACTTGGGATTGTCTCGCAGACCGTAAAAAAAAGATTACTAAGGCTATCCGCAACTGACATAACTAGTTATGACTATATTTCTAAGGATTTAGACGAAAAGTTCTCCCAGCACTCACTTATGTTAGGCCAAATGTTTAGTTAGATAAGAGACATAATGTTCGAGGATACTTGTTCATCCTCTTCAATAATTGCTGTATCCAGGGTAAGCCCGACGTCATCCACCCAAGCCACTTTGTGAGAATTCGACCAGGACTTTATGCACTCAATTGCTTCGATGATGCTAATTCCCAACCTATTTCTGCGATCTTGGAGGGTGATTTTAGTGTCTGAGAAGAGGCGTTCTGGTTCGGCAGACATGGCTGGAATTGATAGAAGATCGAGCGCCATTTTGGAAAGGTTTGGATAGAGCGTCTGTTGTGTATCCTCAAGCCACCACTTTCGTACGTCCTTGACCTTCATTCTTGGGGCTGATATATAATTCTGATACTCATCAAATTGGGCAGGGAGTTCAAAATCCTCCTGTTCGTCTTCCCAAGCAAGGAACGAATTCCTCACTGGTGGCTTGTCAACCAAGACGTGAGCTGGAGACTCGGCTGTCTTGGCGAACGGTGCGTAACGAGACTTCCAGAGACGTTCTACGGCGGTCTTGCTACTATCAATCCACTCAGGATGGCCCTCCCAGGCAACGTCAAAGTAGTGCCACTTTCGATGAGGACTGAGCACAATAGCTGCAACATATGCAGATGAACGCTCCGTAAGAGTGTAATATGCGTCGAGCTTCGCCCACCCGGCCTCAATACAAGGCGCCATAAAAGCGTCACTTCCATATTCGATTCGTGCAGCTTCAAACTTACCAAGCAGGAAGTCCATTATTGGTAACGTTCGATCAATTGTATGCGCGTGGCCTTCTGTAGCCTTGGTTGCATCAGCGAATGATTCAAGGAAGTTGCAAACTTTTTTCAGTTCAGCCCAGTCTTGGTCCGAGAGTGAGTCCAGCTTCAAGTCTTTCTCTTTGGAGCAAAAGTAATCAATTTGATCCGCAAGTTCGATAGCTCTTGCAGTCATATAATACTTGGAATTCCATCTTGTATCGTTGTCGCGAAGAAGTCCCTTCTTCTCACTGATCTCTTTGAACCTCTGCATACGTTGCGGACTACAGCGGATGAAGACAACAATATTGTGAAGCTTGCCAAGAGGACCAGCCTTCCTCCATTTCAATATTTCAGATTCTGATGGTTTGATATATCCACTCGTGGTATCCTTTTTAACCTTGTTTTTCCCAGGGGCTTCGACTGGTGCGGTTTTTGGGAACATGGATGCGTGCGCTGCCAGATTGATAGTATGGCCATTACAACGAAGGCGGTGATGTTTCGCGTCATATGAAATATCATGCTTCTCGTTTAACAAGTTCTGCAAGCTATTCATCAATGTATCATTTGAATCCGCATTGTCTGAAACAAAATATCCAATCTGGGTGACAATTCCGTATTCCTCGACAAGTCACAGTAAGAATAACAATCAATTTTTTTCCACGAGAGGAGCTTGATTAACAATCTGTCTCACAACGTGACATTAACTAGTTAAGCCTCTTCACTGAAAGGGAACAGCCCCACTTTAGGACTTAGCTCGAGTCAGAGCTTCCTTCGGAAGCTCTTACTCTCCTTGTGAACAATCGCTTTATCCAAGTCGCATTTGACCTTGCTCGTGCCCTTGTACCGTCACAATCTGACTTCCCAAAATTCTCTGTGACGTGCATTTGTTCATACAGATGACTGGTTGATAACATAATGTGTCCAGACTCCATAGCGTCAGACGTGACAATCGTTCGGTCATTTACTCTTCAGCTACGGCCTGAAATAAGGTTCAACTCTATTGGCGATTGGGTCTGCATCATCCTGGGTCCACAGGGTTGGGCATGGCAGTCAGGCATCCATCCTTAAGCTGTGACCTAAAATATGGTTAAACTGTATTGCCGGTTTTGGTCCGCATTTGTAGCGTTGCGCGGTTTTTTAACTCTTGTATGTTCATTTTTCTGTCTGAAAATACATGAAGAATTCCCCTCTTTTATAATTAGAGAAACCTCCGTCCAGGGACGGAGGTTTCTCCACCCTAAAGTTACCCGAGTCAACAGCTTTATCCGACAGCATTAGGATGTGATAGAACAGTTCTGCAACCTTCTACTGTGAAACAAGGAGGCAAGTTGGTTGGTATTATTGAATGTCATTGTCCAACACACATAATTGTCAGAAATACGGTGACACTCTTATGGAGATGAAAATTGTGATGTATTCTTGTCTGTTCTGTCCAGTGTCTAATTTGAAGAATTGAGGTAGTCTTTTATCTTTACTCCCCAACCACCTGAATAAATTCAGGTGGTTAGCCAACCTTCATATTTTGTAGTCACTGAGAATCTAAACCCCCCCAAATCCTGGCCGCCAGCCCTGGACTGTTGAGCATCACCTCTATAAGGGGCTGAGCCCGGTGTGGCCGCCGGCCGGGACCCAGCGACGAGCTTCTATAAGTAGCTGCGAAGGCAGTGAGAACAGCGAGTCTCACGGCCCACCAGCTCAGCCCACAGGGCGGTTTAATTAAAGCCCGAAATAGACCGCATGACTACAATATGAAAATTATATCCCAACTTGTGGAAGTTCTTAATACCTTGGTTCTGAGATAAAATACTGCTTTACCCCCTGCACTGTAGGGCGGTGGCGCAAGGGGGAGTAGATCAGCTGAGGGCGGCAAGTCTGCGCCGATAAACAAATCCTGTTGGATAAGGCTGCCTCTGTTAGTTGAACAAGCAGACTTGACGAAATTGCTGGATGTCATAAATCATTGATATCAGTAACTAGTTTGAGAGGCTGGGAAGTCTTCTAACTAAAGATAAATGATATGAACCCTTCCGAAGGATAGAGAGAAAAAGAACAATAATTTTTTCACCAGAAAAGCTTAGTTAACAATAAGTCTAATAACGTGACAAAATTAGTTAACGTCGGGGGTGTTGAACATGAAACAGCATCACGTGCAGGGTCCAGCCTGCGCCTTCCATAAATAGCGTGCCTTGGCAGCATCTCTAGCTTACAGAATCAACGCACTCCTTTCATCTGTGTTCCGCTGTGACGTTCAACAGGGGGAAGGGCAATAGTGGGGTCATCTGCGGACTGGCGGCGTTTCATTGCCAGCATTGCGCATTCCTCTGCAATCATGGGTCCATGTTCGTGCATTTTCAATTTCACTCGCATTACTTTTTAGGTAATCGGCGGCGCCTGTCCGAGTCATGCCCATTGTAAATACCCCTTGCAGAGAGCTTGACTGTCGCGCAGTTTTAAATAAACTACACAACAGATAACCATGATACTGGCGCCAAATCCTACGGCAACTGCAATGACTCGAGTCTGAATATGCGCATAAATGTCAGTATATTGCTGGGCATTAATACCGTGGGGGGTCATAAGTATTCGACCAGGGTAGCCGACTTCGCGTTACAAAGGGTTCCGAGCTCTCCAGCATCTTTAAAAAGTATATATAGGGGCAGATAACCGTTTGTTCGAAGACCTTATTTACATCCTACTGCAAACAATTCCTATTACTATTATCTATTTACCAAGATCCTATCGTCAAGTCTTCGCCCAAAATGAAGGTCTCCGCTACTCTGGCTACTCTGTTTGTTGGGCTAGCTGCAGCCCGTCCGCTGGCGGTCCTTGATCCCCAGGGGCGTAGCAATCCAGTTCAACCAAATAATCTACCTTCTCAGACAATAGCTATTGTGTACTATGAGCTCATAACAGTTGTACACCTTGGCCCTAGTATGGCACACCACCATACTTGCTCCTACCCTTGTGAAAAACACCTCATTTTTAACGTGGTTCAGTCTTGCTTTTCTTGTGAGAAAGATATGCTTCAGTTGCGAAGTCGAGTTCTTCCGTTGCGACTGCGCCAAGACGCAGCCGCTTACTTATGTCAACCCGAATCACTGTATCCCTGACCCCGCAGAGCTCAATGACCTCAGCATGTAGGGTCTCGGCGCCATCTGTTTAGCCTAGTTCGAGAACTCAGACATGGAGGGATTTCTGACTATTTGTCCGGCTCCACGGGGCGCGATCAGGGTCCTTACTACGACCAGTGCGACTAGTTTCAGCACTTCAGCTGCATATATGATACAAGTTGACAATAGGAAGCCGTAGAAATGGTACTGTCGCGTGTTCCAAGACTGCAGTTGATTACACGGATAAGTCCCGTTGCTGAACATGTAAAAGCACCCGGCAGTGAATTGGGACGTGAAACTTTGCGAACCCTACTCACAACGCAGGCTTTTTACCAAGTAATATCACACGAACTATGTCGGGACATAATTAATGTATCTCAAGTGACATTGGTTCCTCTTAATCCTGCCATCTACACTTGGCCATCTACACTTGATTTTCACATGCCCAGGTGCTAAAAATTGGCGAAACAGACTCTTGCTGCTCATGCCTAACACCTCAACCACACACAGTCTTTATGGCCTGTCCTTCCTTACTGTTCATGAACTCCTTGCTAAAAGGATAGTCCGTATAGCCCACCGGGTCCTTTGCACTGTAGAACGTATTCC